ATCCGCAGACACGGGAGCGTGCCACACGTCAACAGACGAGACGTCATAGCGCGCAGGAGCGGGACAACCGGCGAGTTCGAACGCAAGAAGCGGAAAGCGACGGTGAGGACGACCCGGAAGAAGCTCAAGACGAAACGCGCGTGCGAGCAAATCGTAGGCGCGGCGCGCCAGGCGAACGAGAGATAACGCAGGTGAACCACATGACGGGCACCTTCACTATCCGAGACGTCGAAGGAAGCATTTCAACTTTCACCGGCGACGATAAGATGACCATCCAAAGTTGGATTGAGGAGTTCGAGGATACGAGCGTCCTGCTGCAATGGAGCGATTTACAAAAGGTAATTTACGGGAAAAAAATGCTTCGCGGGTCGGCGAAACAGTTCATTGCCTTACAGCGAGGGCTGGTGTCGTGGGTGGCCCTCAAAGATTGTCTCATTAAAGAATTCGAAGTGGAGGTTAACAGCGCGACAATCCACACTCAACTGCAGAAGCGTAAGCGTCAAGCCAACGAGACCCCGCGTCAATACGTGTACGCCATGCGAACGATCGCGAATCAGGGCCGTGTAGAAGACGAGGCTCTTATTCAATATATTATTGACGGTATCCCGGACGACGAAGCGAACAAGCAGATTTTGTACAATTCGCGGACGATCGACGAGGTGAAGAAGAATCTGGAGCTCTATGATCGCATGCGCGAGAAGTCAGGCCGGAAGAGACCAGCGGGTAAAGCCGACCCAAAAGGCGAATCAAGCAAAGATAAGAAAGACGTGAAGGAAAAGAAGGACGCGAAGCAGTCGGCAACGAAGAAGGCTCATTGTTTTGCATGTGGATCACCAGATCATGCAGTTAAGGATTGCCCCCACAAAGATAAAGGGCCGAAGTGCTTCCGATGCGACCAGTTCGGACACGTGTCAAGCAATTGCGAGCAACCAGCCAAGACAACCAAGAAGGACGAAAAAATCAACCGAGTGACGGTTGATGAAGAGACATTCGCGGTACAAGTTAACGGTACCGACACGCTGGCGATACTAGATACAGGCAGTTCCAAAACTATTTTACGGGAAGACGAATACGTGAAGGTCGGCAGTCCTACGCTAAAACCGACGGTGCGCTTATTCAGAGGATTCGGAAAGCGAAGGGCTTCTTCGACGCAAAGCTAACAGTACAAGACGAAGTTTATCACAACGAGGTATATGTCGTTCCAGTCGACACGATGGACGCGAGAATGCTCATGGGGAGAGACTTACTCAAGCAGATGGATATCCGTATTCTCGGGGGACAGACAATATTCCGGAAGATAACGACGATTGGCGATGGGACACCCACACGCGAAGCCAAGAGCGAAGAGAGTGTGTCAAGTAACCGACCTAAAGACGAAGGTGGCGATGAAGTCAGCGCAGAATGGAAGCGATGTGGTTTGTCTACAGTTAACTACGTCGAGCCCGACGAAATCGATGTTCGAGGACCTTACGCAGAAGAGATTAGGAAGCTGATAGACGATTACAAGCCGATCAAGCAGGTGCGGCCCGATGTCGAGATGAAGATTGTGCTGAAAGATCAAGAACCCGTTCGTGCCAAGCCACGGCGACTCTCAGTGCAAGAAAGGCAGATACTACAGAAACAAATCGACGAATGGTTAAGACATGGAGAATGTATAAGGAGACCGAACTAGGTCTGGATCACGTCACCGAAAGTGGGCCGACATTTTTACCATCCAGTGAATCAAAATTTTGCCACTTGTAGCGCTGGCGTCGCCTTACGCGATTAAGAATTCGCTCATGAGTTACCGATCTTGATCTCACTGGCTCGTAGATACAGCGTATAACCTTTGTTATCTGGGGATCGATTTTTGAAACTTAGGAAAAATACAAAAGTGAGTGAATACTAGAATATTTCTAATTTCAACCTGTGAATTCGCTCACTTTTGAAATTTTCACAAGTTTCAGAGATATACAATCCATCTCCTCATCTTATTACGGACGTATCGAGCCTACTCGAAACTTGTGAAATACGCAGTTTAAAGGAATTAATTTTTATTCTGGTAAGTACGAGTAACAATTTTTTATATTTCAGTAATCGTAGTTCGAAGAGTAAGAAACTTGAAATTATTCGCGGTTTTACGAATATCGTATATAGTCTCGAAATTGATATAACCTCTCGTACTCTATCATTAATATAACCACGAAGCTTCATGCATATGACAACCATGTGTCACGTACGAATGCGAATGGAGTTAGTTGATGACAGCGCTCCCAGTATTGCTTTTCAGAATGTTTGGCGGGCACAAACATCGGCCCATTTTGATTACGGGCAGTTCGGTCTCCTTATACATTCTCCATGGGTTAAGAGATGGAATCATCAAGCCCAGCAGAAGCCCATATTCGAGTGCCGTGGTACTCGTGAAAAAGAAAGACGGAACTTATCGCGTCTGCATAGATTATCGTCCAATCAACAAGAAGATCATCCGAGGCCAGTTTCCAACACCATTGATTGAAGACTGTATCGATGATTTGGCCTCAGCCCGAGTTTTCTCGGTGATTGACCTGAAGAATGGTTTCTTCCACGTGCCAGTCGCGGAGGACAGTCAACAATATACGTCCTTTGTGACGCCCGACGGACAGTATGATTTTAGGTTTGCCCCATTCGGCCTGTGTAATAGCCCGACCGAATTTCTGACATTTATGGAGGGAGTTTTCTGTGAACTCGTCAGGCGACGTATTCTCCGCAAGTACTTGGACGACATTATCGTACCGGGTGGAGATGAAGAAGAAGCAATGTACGGACTTCGTGAGACCCTGAGGGTCTCAGCTGAGAATGGGTTGGCGATCAATTGGAAGAAGAGCAAGTTCCTGGTACGAGAGGTGGAGTTCCTGGGACATATCGTCGGAGGTGGCTTTGTCCGTCCCTCCAACGAGAAAATCAAAGCAGTACAGAAGTTTCCGAGGCCCAAGTGTCGAAAGGATCTTCAAAGTTTCCTTGGATTGACGGGTTATTTCCGCAAGTTTGTTTTAGATTATGCAGTTATCGCTCGACCATTATCTGATCTCCTGAAGGGCAGTAAGGGGTTTGGTTTCGGAGTGACACAGGAAGAGGTGTTTAACAGGTTGAAGGCGGTATTGTCAAAGGAGCCCGTGCTGCGAATCTACAAGCCGGACGCAGTCACGGAACTCCACACGGACGCCAGTAAGCTGGACTACGGGGCGATTCTGTTGCAGAAGGACTCCGTAGAGGACAGCTTCCACCCAGTCTACTACATGAGCCGCAAGACGTCGGAAGCCGAGCAGAGGCTTCACTCGTATGAACTGGAGGTGCTCGCTATCGTTAACGCGTTGAAGAAATTCCGGGTCTACCTCCATGGTATCAAATTCAAGATCGTAACGGACTGTGATGCATTCCGAAAGACGCTGGACAAGCGTGACCTACCGGCCAAGGTTGCAAGATGGGCATTATTCATGGAAGAATTCCAGTACGAGGTGGAACATCGGGCGGGATCACGTCTACGACATGTGGACGCATTCAGCCGCTATCCCGTCTTCACGGTGGACGACACGGTGACGCAGATGATACAGAAGCGACAGGATGAAGATGAGAGACTCCGAGCATTAAAACGGATACTGGACAAGGAGCCGTACGAAGATTACGTAGTCGAGAACGGTTTGCTAATGAAGAGGTTCGACGACAAGGTCGTCATAGTGCTGCCTAGCAGCATGCACACGAACATGATTCGCAGAGCACACGAGAACGGACACTTCGGTGTGAAGAAAATGTCTGAAAGCATCAAAAAGGACTTCTACATCCCTAAGTTGAAAGAGAGGCTAGAGAGATTCATCAGCTGTTGTGTACCATGCATTCTGGCAGAAAGGAAGAAGGGAAAGATGGAAGACGAGCTCATGCCCATCCCGAAAGGAGATACACCATTGTCGACGTATCACGTCGATCACCTGGGCCCGATGACATCAACATCAAAGCTTTACAAACATTTGTTCGTGGTCATCGATAGCTTCGCAAAGTTTGTGTGGCTATACCCCACCAAAACAACAAACGCGAAAGAAGTAGTTGCGAAGTTGACATTGCAACAAACAACGTTCGGCAGTCCACAACGGATCATCAGCGATCGGGGCACGGCATTCACATCTGGCGAGTTTACGGACTACTGCACGTCAGAGAATATAGAGCATATCAAGATCACCACCGGAGTACCTAGAGGGAACGGCCAAGTCGAGAGAGTCAACAGAATCATTATTCCAATACTAACGAAGCTGGCGTTGGATCATCCTGACAGATGGTATCGCTACGTGGACCAAGTTCAAGGTTGCCTAAACAGCACGTATCAACGAAGTATCGGAATGACGCCATTTGAGCTGATGTTTGGCGTGAAAATGCGGCGGAAGGAAGACCCACAGATTCTGGAGCTGATCGAGCGGGAATCGGCCGAGTTGTTCGAGAAAAACCGAGACGACTTACGTAGTTTAGCCAAGGCGAATCTGTATAAGATTCAAGAAGAAAACCGGCGTACGTTCAACCGGAACCGCAAGGCCACTGTATTGTACAAGAAGAGCGACATCGTGGCCATAAAACGGACGCAATTTGGCCCCGGACTGAAAAATAAGAAGTTTCTCGGTCCATATAAAATATCACAGGCGAACGGTAATCATCGTTATGAGGTGATACGAGTTGGAGAAGGAGAAGGTCCAAGAATCACTACTACGGCGGCGGACTACATGAAGCCATACCAGTACCAGGAGGATGAATCTTCGGGGACCGAAGATCCGCAGGAGGGCCGAGTGTAGGAGTGGGCCCCCAGTTCAGGGCGCTGACGGCGGAGGACCCGCGCGTGCGGCGCTGGCGCAGGTCGAGGAGGGGGAGAAAAGACAGTCAGTCAAAAAGTGACCACGCTCAAAGAAGGACCGAATTTGTATTCACTGATTACATTAAAGTCAGTTAAATTAAAAGTTGTGTAAACGTCCGTACCCCGCACCATCCTCGGACCCGAATCCTACATGTATGCTAAAAGAATTCCCATCGAGGAGGTGCCGGAGGAAGACGAAGCTGCTGCTGAATGGCTACACAAGCTCTATCAACAAAAGGTAGCGTTATTGAGTTTGCATCTCTTCTTGCATCCGATGGAAACGTTTGCACTATTTTGGTAGAACAGTTCAATTCTGCAATTGATAATATTTCTCGAGTTCAAGAAGAAATGCTTAATCCCAATTAGGAGCTTTGAGTAGTTTTCCAGTCCACAAGGATAGAACCATGTGCAGTCACTATAATGTAATCGATGTGCTTAAGTTTACATTAAGTTGCCCAACTTGAACATTTCTGAGAAGTGCGTCAGAAACCCGTATTGTTTCTCTGCGCGTTAGAACGAAGAGCTTGCAAGTTGACGATTAAGTCGAGCGGAACAATGATCTTTGTCAATGCCATGGCACATTGCGAGCAGTTTGCTTACCAGGATTCTATTCTAAAAAAACTAAAGTTACAATTTCTTCAATGTCTTCAATATCTATAAGATAGTTATTTGTACGTATGGTGTCTTTTCTATACTAATTAATTTCAATATGAGTAGTTTTTTGGTATCTCGAAATTATGTTACATCAATTATTTTATAGAAATTGCCTATACTTCTAGTTGCCTATAAAAAATATTAAAAGTATAAATTTGTCGGTCATTTTATAGAAAGTAAATTGTAACAAGTTTGTTATAAAAATAAAAATATTTTAATCATTCTTTTTTCATAAAGAATAAAGATCATTTAGTTTTTAAACAGAATTATAATTTTTTCCTTTTTACATTGAAAGATATATCTAGGAGAAATGTAGTAATAATATGTTGAAAGGTTTTTTATTGATTTTATTTGACTTTACTTTTCAAACTATATGAACATTTATTTTATGATAATCTATTTTGAACATGTAATTTATTTATACCGCCAAACATATTGAAATGGAAATTGGATGAAGCAATAATCAGATTTTATAATTATCCTTACAGATTAACAGCTACCCATCACGATGCAGCTAGTAAATTTATCAATATTATCACTCGGGGACATGGAAACAGTATACTTCCGGAAGACTTGATCCCTCTTGTACAAGACGTAGTAGAAACGCATCCAGGACTGACGTTTTTAAAAGAAGCTACGGAATTTCAGTCTTGTTATGTACACACGGTTTGTAGAAAACAACTATCTCATTTCTTATTTATAGAAATATGTTAATTGTATCAATCATATTGATTTCTATTAAAATTAAATTGTGATCAGTTTATAATAATTATCGTACAGATGTGATAGATTTGCAAGTTTTCGTTTAACGTCCTGAATTGCTCTTGTTGGGATAAAAATTTATTATAATCAAATTTCATTTTAAAATTACTCGACATATTTTGTTTAAAAATTCAGATTTAAATAATTTATGAAATATTGTAATAATATTTTTATTTTTGAGACATTTAGCCGCAACTAATAATGAAATTATTCGCGGTTTCATATAAGCTGTGCAACTAATTGTTTACAAATATTTATGAAAATAATTGCAGGTAATTGCTAGGATATTTTATTGCGTGAATCGAAGTTGGAGCGGTAAAATTTCAATTGCCGAATTAAGACGAAGCAATCTGTTGGCGGTGATCGCCGTGCTTGAGCACGAGGAGGATATTAATCAGGTTACAGCATACTTCAGTTATGAATACTTTTATGTGATATATTGCAAATTCTGGGAGTTGGATCACGATCATGATCTCTTCATAGACAAAACAGATCTAACGAGACACAATGATCATGGTGAGAGATCGTGTTTTGCAATTTAAATGCACCGATCTTGAATTGATTTCTTATTCATTTTTTTTGTTTGTCGAATTATCTTCAGCTTTATCTACTCGAATGATCGAAAGGATATTTAGTGGTGCTGTGACAAGAGGTGGTAGAGTAAAAAATAGTAACAATGCACAACAACCAGAGGACAAGATGAGTTACACAAAGTTTGTATGGTTCCTTCTTAGTGAGGAAGACAAGAATCATTCAACTGCCATTGAATATTGGTTTAGGTAATTCTTTTACATCTGTCGTAGCAGGTCAATAAAACTTATATTGTACCATTTATCTTTTAATATACGTTATAATTTTTCATTGATAGATGTATGGATCTCGATGGCGATGGTTACTTGTCGATGTACGAATTGGAATACTTCTATGAAGAGCAATTACGCCGAATGGAAGCGATTGGCCTGGAGACCTTGCCTTTTGAAGATTGTCTTTGTCAGGTAATACTAGAATTGTGAGTTTGTCTATTTGTTAGTTTCTAGAAATTTTTCAGTTTCGTAAATCTTTAAATTTGAACTTCTGGGACAAATATTAAAAAGTATAAATTGAATAAGGCGCGATAAAAGAATGCAAAAATACTGAAAACATGTGATATATCACAGATGTTGGATATGATTCATCCGGTGATACCAGGCAAGATATCGTTGACCGACTTGACAAACTGCAAAATGACATCCATCTTTTTTGATACCTTTTTCAATCTGGAAAAGTATCTGGATCTGGATCACGAACAGAGGGATCCTTTTGCCTCGACGAGGGATCACGATGCTGACGGTACGTAATCACGAGGTACGTAATCACCCTTATCTTATTATATTAAAAAAATTTATTTAATCGAGTATTAAACCTTGAATATTCTTTTTATTTTGATCTTTAAGAATTTTCAGTTATATTGTGATAGATTATGATTTTTCGGATAGTTTGTGAGTTAATTCTTATTAAATACAAGGGAATATTTGCAGGCAAATTAAATGAATTGAGAAACAAAAATGTTATTTTAGGTATTTCAGAATTGACATCTTGTAAGTTAGAATGAGATAGAATTGTAAAACAATTTTTTAATGCCTTGTAAAATAATCTTTACTTAAATTGTAAACTTTTGTTTGTAGTTTTACACGCTGCTCTACAAAGATGTTGAAATGTTTGGTCTATATACAATTATAATAATTATTCTTCGTAAAAAACATATTTAATTATAAATTAAAACTCCATGAACATTTGTTACAGCGAACATACCTTAAGTTTATTGATGGCATAAAGTTAAGAGAAGCTCTTAGTCATTTCCAAAAAGAAACAATGACAGATGAACTAGCATGTAAATTCACTTATTGGGGTCGAACGAAAGGATCCTTGCCATTCTATAACACACAGATTGCAAAAGTGTTCTTTCGTAAGTATTAACTCTTTGATGAAAACACAATATATGCTATATATATAGAAATATTAATATTTTGATTTTTTGAATAACAATAATATAAAAATATTGTTGTTTCAGATGCAGCTACAATGTGCCCAAATTTTAAAGGGCCCGAAACTAGAGCGGAATTTAAATTAGAAGTAATGGAAGTTTTTCGTGCGGCAAAACAACGACATTATTTAGAAAACAACAAAGATAAAAGTGCAGCAGCAAATGAAAATGAAGAAATCAATGTCGAAGACACTGCAGATTATTTTGATACTGATGGGATTCCTGAAACAGAAGATCCTGATGCGTCAAATGAAAGTAATTGAGCAAAGGTTTGACTATGTACTTATGTTAACTCGATGGATACTAGGAGTTCTTTCCAGAGATAGTCCGCACCGGATAGATAACAGTCAAAAATGTAAATCGAAAGGGATTACATTTTCATTTAAAGAAACCCGGCGGATGTCTGCAAGTTTCTTTCTGGGATAGTCCGCATCAGAACGATAGTAGTTAGTAGCGGTCGCGTTTTTTCAGCTCTTTTTTTTATTTGCGCTTTCAGAGTTAAATTTAATTATTTAGTTTTTTTATTTGCGCTTTCAGAGTTGAATTTAATTATTTAGTTTTTATTGCATTTTTATTCCAGATTTCTGTTCTGTTTTTTTTGCGACGATATCTTGTGATAATTACCAACTACTGTATGTATGTATGTATGTATCTTTATTCTGCGGTACACAGAATACGGGCTACCGCTCCGTTTACAATTTTCCTCTTCACCTTCTCCGCTCACCTTCTCTTATTCCTACGCCATTTCTTAATTTCTAATTTCTCCGCCGAGAGAGAGAGACTACCCATTCTCCGCATCCTCAATCATTCTTACATTCATTCCTCCATTCATCCTGGCTTCCGCTTCCGCTGCTCTTTCCTTCCATTCCATCTCCTCCTCATTCTCATCCTCCTCTATCCTTCCCTTTCTCCAATCCTCTATCTTTTTCATCCACGTCTCTCCCTCCCCTTTCTCCCCTAGTACTACTTTTATCATTTCCTGCCATCCTCTTTCCCTCCCCCACCCTGTACATTCGTCCCACACATGTTCCCACGTCTCCTCCTCCCTCTCACATACTCTGCATTTCCTTTTTTCTGTTTCCTCCCAATATCTCCCCTCTCTCATTTCCTCTCCTAATCTATACCTAGCTACCCTCTGCCACCTTTCCTCCTTCCATCCCTTTTTTAAGTACTCCGGTATCCCTTTCCCCTTTATCCACTTATACCACCTATTCCATCTTGATTCCTCTATTTTCTTCCATCTTTCCTCCTCCTGTCTTTTTTTCTCTTTTTCCACCATCTCCTCTCCTCTTAGTTCCCCCCTCTCTCTCCTCCTTTCCACCTCTATCTTCCACCCCTTTTCCTCGTAGAAGTCCCTTCTTTCCCTCTCCCATTCCCCTCTTACCTCCCCCTTTTTCGCTCTCTCTCTCCACTCCTCCCAGCACCATTTTTCTATCTCTCCTCCTCTACCCTCTCCTAGCTTCCTTTCATATCCCCATGCTCTCATCCCTGCCTTCCCTCTTATCTTCTCTCTCATCAGTTCCTCTCTTACCATATATCCCGGCGTATTCCAGCTTACTCCTATTATCCATCTCAAATGTCTGTCCTACAATCTTTCCAACTCTTCCCTTTCTCTCCACCCCCATATCTCCACCCCATAACTCACCACCGTCCATACCAGCTTATCAAACAACCATATTCTCCTTGCCCAATCATTCCCAAATTTCCTTTTCCCTATCCCCCATACTTCCCTCATTACCACCGCCCCCTTTCTCACCCTTTCTTTTATATGCTCCGTGCACTTCCCATTTGCCATAATCATATACCCCAGGTACTTATACTTCCTCACCTCCTCTAATTCCCTCCCTTTCCATCTCCAGCTCACCTTTTTCCAGCTCCCTCCTCCTTTCCTGCATCTCATTACCTTCGTCTTCTCTACATTCACCTCTAACCCCTTCTCCTCCATGTATTCCTCCAACCTTTTTATCATCCTCATTATTCCCCCCTCATTCTCCGCCACCACTGCTACATCATCCGCATATGCCAACGTCCATG